ATTTGACCCAAAAAAAAAAAAAAACCATGTTTATATTAGAGATATCCTTATCAGGTACCTTTTGATTATTATATTGGATTAAAAGAGACGGAGTATTATTTTTTTGGGTTAAAAAAAGATAAAAATAGTAGTGATAAAAAAGATATGTTTTTATATATTTCACTCTAAAGCTATTTTAAAAATAAATTTATTTTATATTTTTTTAATCAAATATTTTTTTTATTTTAAATACTAACCATATACGATTTCAACGTAAAAATGGATGTTATTAAGCATATAAATATGGGCACGTCATGTATGGTCCAAATGGTGTCATCATTAACCGACTTCTAACACTAGTTTTATTTTATTTTTCAAAAATAATTTTGGTAAAATAGTAGTGATATTAGAACATGTGGTGCCACGTAACATGCTTGGGATGTCGAGCAAATTTCCATGCACATGACACCTAGGGTTTAAAACGTCACCATTGGTGATGAGACTTTATTTTTATTTTTATTTTCTTTCAAGGGTAAGAGAGGGTATTGTGAAAAATAGAAGTGATTATTTTTTGTTTAATTTAGTTTTTATTAAAAAATAACTAAATTGAATTTAAAAAAAAAATCAAAATTAATTTAAATCGATCAGTTTTGGTTCGGTTTGGTTTTTTAGAACAAAACCAGTTCAAATTGGTTTGACTCGGTTTTGGTTTTTTTTTCTAATTTGGTTTTTTTTTTGGATTTTAACTTGTTTTTTTAGTTTGACTTATTTTTTTTCAGTTTTTCAGTTCAATTCTATTTTTTCGGTTTCAAGTTTATAAAACCAAACCGGTCAATTTTTAAAAAATTTAAATTGGTTTAATTTTTTTTCTCATGATTTGGTTTTTTTATTATTTTTATTTTTAATTTTATTAGTTTAATCAATATTTTGGTTTCTTCGCTCATTCTTATTCTTAGTAGGAAGCAATACCGGGTTTTTCCATTGCCAATTGAGGCCAAAAGTGGTGAAACAAATTATGAATGTGACAAAGGGTTGGACAATTCAGAAGACGGTTTCATATTGGGAAATATTCTTTGGATGGATTTTCCACAAGCATGGACAAGTGTTTTATGATTTCGTAAGCATAATTAAATTAATGATAGAATGTAAAGAAAAAAAACAGAGAGAGAGAGAATTCTTGGA